TTTAAAACAAACAACGCCCCCCCCCCCCCCCCCAAATAACCACAAAATTAAAACATTTTGTTAATCTATGGAATTTTATTTGAACAAGTTGATACAAAACCAGTACGGTACATCAAATGAACCAAAACAAGCAGAGACTTGAGCATTGTCGAATAAGGCACGTATAAAAAAAAATGTACACGCGTAATCCAGTGAAACAGACAGTTTATATATATATATTTGGAGGTAGAAATAATTACAAAAATACTGACAAACCTTAAGCAGTAGCAGATTTGTTAAAACAATTACTACTTAGGTCCCCATTTTGAAAAGTGACTGTAAAATAATTATTCAGCATCCGATGTTGGCACATTTGGGCCATTTATGTTTTTAAGCATCAAAAGAATGCTATTGGTGTTAAAAATTTTCAATACCACAAGGAATACAATAAAGAAACTACAAAGAGTTATAAATGTTCATAAAACTCATGGTCATCAGTAATGTAAGAGTCCTTGGGGTACAACATCACCTTTGTTCCTTGAATTCCACAACATATGTACATGTTAGAGACCTAATGAAGCTTTTAATAGTGTGGCTATATCTGCTGGAATGGTTCCTTCTTCTCCTGACAAATAAAAACAAACATTAGTACAGCTCAAAATATTTCAGACAACTGTCTAGATCCCCAAAACTGTACAAAATCCTCTACTTGTAGTAATCTGTCATTGATTTGTGTGTCAGACTCAGAGGGCGCTTCCTGTCTAATTGAACAATAATCATCACAAATACATCTTTCTAGTTCATTTAACATAAAATAAAAAGGCTGTCTGCATCAAGAACCTTGTTTTTTCAGAATAATAAACTGCAGCAACCTTAAGTCACTGAAGTGGACATCATTATGTGCAAGAGACTTACCTGAATCTGCTGCAGTCATATCTTGTTCTAACTTCAATTTCTGCTGGCTGATTTTGAGCATGGTTTCTTCAATAGTCCCCTTACTGATTAGCTTTATGACTTTTACTTCTCTGAAAACCACAAAATAGGGTAAGTCTATTTTTGTAGTTTCTTTGGATTAGTGCAAAAGGGAAGGATGCTATGCCTTTGCTCAGCTGGCAGTGGTTTAAAACAAGGAGGAGGAAATGAACAAGAGGTCAATACAAAGAGCTTCTACTTTTTCTGTCTGGACCAACTGCGCTCCATGCTGCCAGAAAACTTGTTCTCTCCTACGCTCCCAGCCACTGTAAAGTCTGGATGGTCACAAAAATCTCCGTTCCTAGAAACAACTCAACTTCCCCCTCATCTCATACTACAGTTGAAATACCAGTTATTAAACATATTCTACTGCTCGCATTAGCTTATTCTGATGGAGGACTCCAAAATCGACCCTGGTTTCATTCTTTATGACAGAGTGGCACTTTAGAGCTTAGAAGTCTCCCAAAGAGAACAAACAGCTTTGCCAAACAGTCCCAAAGACTTCAGATCTGCCTTAAAATAGTTCCTAGCACCAGAAATTTGAGAATTATAGAGAATTTGAAAGTTTTAGAGAACTGGAAAAAGGAGGAGAATGTAAATAAGGTTTGTTCTGGCAGCAACATGTGCTAAATTACAATTACCTAGCTCCCACACCAGAGCTCGTTTATACAAGTCTCTGCTTAAATGGAATTTTTAATCATAAAATATTGTCCTTTTAGCCTCCTTTGAGAGCTTGCCTCCAAGAAAAGCCAAGCATTGTAATTAAGAGGTCTTACCTTGTCTGACCTACTCTATGGCATCGGTCTTCTGCTTGCTTATCATTGTATGGATTGCAATCAATGTCATGAAGAACAACAACATTTGCTGAGGTCAGATTAATTCCCAAGCCACCAGCTTTGGTTGACAGGAGGAATACAAATATATCCATATCTGTATTGAACTGATCTATTAGATGTATCCTGCAGAACACAAGAAAACACACATCAGGCCTTGGAGAAAACACCACACTGGCTCCAGAGTTGAATACAGAAGTTTTCAAAGGGAGGATGGTGGCATTGCAACGCAGCTCAGAAGTACAGATGTCACGCAGAAGGAAAAAGAGTGCCAACAGTCCTCAGCAGTGATCAGAGAAACATACTGAGAGTGACAGATGGACAGCCAAGAATGAAAAGTGGCTTGGAAAAAAATTTTGGATGATTATAGAGTACAATGAGCAAGTTGAAGGACTGAAGTGCATGAAACAAATGGTGGCAGCGGTGGAGGGGGGGAGGAATTTAGCTTCATGACTGTCTTCTGTACTAACTGCACACACAAGGGAAGTAACAGACTTCAGCTGTAAGTGGGAAGCAATTCCACAGCAAGAATGACAGCTTTACTGAAAAGAATGAAAGAGCATAAAAAGAACCCCAAAACACACAAAAAAAAAAAATCCTGAAACAGGAAACAGCAGAAAACCAGCACAGCTCAAATACAAGAAAAGCATTGCAACATTTTCAGCTGTGAACACCACAGTAAATGGTTTGTCCTATAGAAACAAAGGGGTTTATCTGCCTATTGTAACAGAGATAGACTATAGTCCCAAGGAATATCTACAGGGGAGCTTTTGTTATGGTATGCTGACACACAAGCAAATCAAACACACAATCAACTGCTAAAGACACAAGTTTTCCATTTCAATGGCTAAGACTGTAACCCAACCATCTAAAACTCGCCTATCAGCCTCATCCTTACTAAGGCGATCTGAAATCCAACATTAAACCCCTTCCATAGTCAATGGTTTTAAGTCACCTCCCCCTGCTTCATGCACACATCCATTTTTTTCCCTCTCATCTTCAGCAAAAAAGTCACATACCGATCAGAAATCTGTGTTTTTCCATCCAACCTGATATACCTATGTTGCCGGTGTTTTAGGAAAACTTCCAAGATATCCAGCATCATAGTAAACTGGCTAAACAATACAACTCTGTCACCCTGGAAATGACAAAGCAAAACAGAAGTTTTAAAAACACGTCACTTATGGATAATGAACTACACAAATACTTTATTGGTGAAAAAAGACTAAGCTGAAATTCATCAAGTCAGGATTGACTTTCAGTGGAGATACCATATCCAGTATTTCTGCTGCATTAACCCACCTTTTGTCAGTGCAATAATTTTTTAGTTACTTTGTACTTAGGTGACTCAAGCAATCTAGAAATCATATGTCAAATGCATAAATGACAGATCTACTCCATCTATAAACATCAACAAAATCCTTTCATTAAAAACTTAAATTTAAGCTATGTATTTCATATAATACAGAGCAGTAGTACTCTTTGGCCTGAAATAATCAAACAGATGCACAGCACACACTTGTGCAAATTCAGGATACTCTGAAGTATTACAGTACACAATTAATCGTAAAATAAGCCAGTTTCAATCTATGACTCAAAGCAGTGAACTCTTCTTACCTTTACACTGGCTTAACACATACATAATGTGTAGGCACGTAGACGTGGTGCTTAGGGACACGGTTTAGTGGTGGACTGGGCCGTGCTAGGTTTATGGTTGGAGTTGATGATCTTAAAGGTCCTTTCTAACCTAAATGATTTTATGATTCTATAATTATTCTAACGTAACACAGTCTTATTCAATTGGCAAAAGAAGGTCAAAGTTCATCAGCTGTGAAAATGATGCTAGCCCTCCGTACATTGAGAAAGTACTGTTAACTCGGGATGGATATTCTGAAACTTGGAAAAATGGGGAAGCTTATTTCAGCCATCTCTAAAGTGACGTGTGTAGGCAGGACTGCACATTAAAAGCATAAGTATTGTTTTGCAATACTGCACATGCACTAAATCACATTGCAATACTCCACAGAAAAGCAACTGGGTTGCATACACAGCTAGCAGATGTTAATTGAACCAGTTATTGAGAGCCACCCTTTAGATTGACAGGAAAAAATGTTTCAACCCTCTGTAGTACCAACCTTCACTTTAAGGTCAGAGAGAATGCGTTCCAATGCTCTAAATTTTCCAGAATCCAAGATCTGATCCATGTCTAAGTTGAAGTCACCGATGTGAGAATATTGCTTACAAAGCAAATGCAGCTCAAAATCTGTCATTACTGTCATATCTTCAAAGATAAGGTCAGGGTTAGCATCATAATGTGTGGGTTCCTGTTAGCAAAAATGAAGGGAAATAATGCAATATACAATCTCACCAGACAGACAAGAAAAAACAAAGCCACCACACAATAACATCCAAAATTTCTGAAAGAACAAAGTAGCACAACCAGACATGGACAAATGCCAGAGTGTGGCTCATGCAAGCAACAAAAGATGAACTCTGCAACCCCAGGTCTAGAGTAGAGGATCATTACTTTGCAATTTAGCTTTTACAGGAACTTATACTACCAAAAACTAAGAAGTGTATGCTCAACCTCCACAGCAATTACCTAGTTCCCATCAAGCCCTACGACCTTTTACGCCTGTATCAGACCTCTTCCCCTGAAGACACATTCCCTAAAAGGGAGGTCCAAACCTTGGATAGATGGTAGAAGACATGGGAAGCCCAGCCCAAGATGTAGGGTGGGTAGAGGGATGTCATGCCTGGAAGAGGAAAAGAAAAGCCACATCTGGAGAGTACGATGGTATGAGCAGGAATAAAAAAAAGGGACAAAAATCCTTCATAAACCAATGGGTCACTTCTTCCCTTCCCCCCAACCTTGACTGGCTTTATTTTAAAACAAAGCTGAAGATATTCAAAGTCAGCTGCAACTTTCTTAGAGCATCTGCTGCACATTCAGATTTTTTTTTTTTATACTTTAGAAGAAGCAACAATTTTCCCCAAACTCCGCAGGCATTAACCCCAGTCAGATTACCAAAAAAAAAAAAAAAGCAGCATCCTCAACAGTTCAATACTTATGCCTTCCCTATTTAGTCCTGTACAGCCCAGACTTCTTGCTACTCAGAAGATACCAGTAAACTCAACCAAGATTTTTTCCTTATGTGCTTTGGTTTTAAATTTTGGGGTGGAGGGAAGAGGTGTTAAGGGGGGAGCTAATGAAAAAGAGATGACTGCAGTCCCACAACTGTCCTCTCCATTCTAATATCTATCTGATACAAAAATTTGTGTCAAACACATACACAGCTTGATTAGAGCACTGGATAGATGCAGAGAAATAAAAAGCAGCAACAATGAATTAAGTTTTGCAAAGACACACTTTTGTCCAGAGGACTGACAATTAAAAAAAAAAAAAATCTTTTAAAGTTTCATTAAAAATTCTGAGCAATTAAGGATTACTGCTGAATCTCATCACCTTACCTTGAGCATAAGCATGGACATTGACCTGAGCTTGTCGGTCGTGTAATACTGACGATGCAACAGAGGGTGATTAGCCATTTTTCTAAGTTGCATCATTACATTTCCCATATCAGAGTTTTTCTCTGTAAACAAAGAAATAAGGTATATTCAGCAGTAGTATATAGATGCCTATCTGACACATCTTTGTCTTTCAGGAGAACTTTATTTGTAAGAACCGAATTTGACATTTCACCTATTACCTGAACTTAGGAGAAATTCCCAGAAGGGACATAGTCAGTTTATGAGTACTAGACATTTCTACACAGCAAGGGCTTTGTAGTCACATTCCAGATATGTCTGAGTATGAAAAAAAAATCCAGCAAAAGGAAACGAGACCCTCACATACCATTACTGTTAATAGTTTTCTTGAGCTTGTTTAAGAGATCACAGTATAGTTGTTCCTGTTTCTCAGACATGGCACATAACTCAATGAGATCTTTTTTGGGAGGTAGTTGTTTAAGGACCTGACAAAATAAAAACATACCAGGTAAAAACCGTACTGTAGTGAACGGTCAGCAATTCTGTACTATCTTACAAGCCTGCTTTTCAGCTACTCTATTCATTCTCCTCATCCCATCTCCCTTCCGTGGCTCCAACTTTGCTGAGTCAGTAGTTTGACTTACTCAACTTGATTTGGATTATACATAACCCGCCCATCAAGTAACATGGTCTGTACACTCCAAAACTGCACAAAATAATAACACGTGCAATATCTGGAACCTACTCCCCCGCTAATCAGAGATACCCTCTTCAAGCCACTGACTACTAAAGTATGCAAGTACACAGAAATGCTTTTCGGATCACTACTAAGTTCACCCTTTCTTTTATAGATACAATTCTAAATACAAGAATTTAAATAGGTTTTGGATTTTAGAATGAAAAAGAAACACTTTAATGACAGAAAAATAACTTAAACCACACATTTCTAGTCACACATATACACAAATACATGCACATTCACTGCCTTAATCCTTTCAGTTAAAATAAAGTGTCATTACTATAGGGTCACAAATATTTTTGTGGTTAACATGGAGGATTTCTCACTTCTCATTGCTTAGCAGTGCACCAAACCATCTTTCTGTGATCTTTCCTAACTAAAATTCCCAACTCTAAATAGTCTGTAAATAACAAAGCACCAAAACGCAATGCTGCAGCAGGTCACATTTTTACCTGCAAACTCCTGAAAGACAGCTCAAGTTTCTTGCTCTTCCTAGATAAACAGCTAAAACTAGCACTGACAAAATTTGACCTTAAATTCTACTGTTAGTCTCAAAGATTATCAGGATTTTTGATAACATGAAACCATTATTTTAAAGATAAAAACATTACCTCATCTTTCACTCTTCTCAAGATGAACGGTTTTATTATCTGCTTTGCATGTGCAATCCTTTCCTTTTCATATACGCTTTGTTCTTCAGCACTCTTCTAAGGAAGAACATTGCAAGAATTCAATTACAGTGTGAAGTTTTCAGCTGTACCACACTACCTTAACTATTCTAACTTGAAAGTTACCATTAGTATTCTGAGATATCCTCTTAGGACATGTTTTTACTTTAAATGGTTTATTTCATTGTTTCATTTCTAGATTTCCATAATCACATTACCTGTTTCCGTAAGATACCAATAAAAAAGAAGGTATGCAGCAACAGCAGTGTTCTAGCGAAAAGAAAAAAAAATATTTTCAAGAAGAGAATATATAATACTTACTGTTTTTGAAGAGAACATCCTTCGGATTTCACTTGTGCTACTGCTGAACATATGTGGCATGACAAAATTCAAGAGGGACATCAACTCCAACAGATTATTTTGAACCGGAGTCCCCGTTAGCAGTAAGCGATTCTTTGCCTGTTTGTCCACAGCGGAAAACAGCAGTGAGAAACATTAGTCAAAGAGGTTAAGACAAATATTGGCAGAAACAACACAGCTATGGAGAAGTGAGAAAATGAACTTGGTTTAAATTATAACTGTTTAAACTTAATATATATTTAGATGTCATGGAATAATTTCCTGGTTAAGTCAACAAAACGGTTTACAGAACTGTGGGGAAGTGAGCATGTATCAAGACTATGCAAGAAGCCTAATCCAGATGTAAGAAAAGCCTTCCTGGCTCTATTAGGGTTTTTCTTGTTTGGTTGGTTTGCTTTTGTTTTTAAATTAATGTGCTAATTGTTTCTCCTATATCATATGTTTTCTAATGTCATGCAGTACTTATGCACAGGTTTTGAATTGCAAATACGAACCATAGTTTAATTGCTTAAAGATCTGGTTCTTGAAAAGGTTTTTGATGACAATATGATCTTGAAAAATAAGTTGTAATAAGTGATCATAAGTATATTACTGTTATACGAATACTACGCAGTGCTAAATCACAATAATCAGAGAAAAAGCTGTACTCAAATTTTCTCTTTTTCAACATGCTGCTGAATCAGGCTGCAAGCTACAAGAAAAAAAATTATTTTAAAGCTAGCTTTTCTTGCATAGTCCTATCAGAGTAGGTCCTGAAATATTACAATGTTTCAGCACAAGTCATCAGAATAGCACTTTTACAATCTTTACTACTGTGGGATAAAACTGGAAAATTGCTTAATACTGAAACTGAACCACTACCATCCTTATAACAACGATACAGGAAACTTAGTACATTTCTTTGGGAGCCTGTCTCCCTGAAAGACTTCACAAGGTAGGATCCACGCCTAAGACTACACCACCACTTATATCCACTTGCATACTGTAATTTCTGGAACATTATGTGTATATGAACATTACAATTAACACTCCATTTTCCCCCAGCCCTTAACTACAAAATGGAAAAAACACGAGCTGTCGCCTCTAACCCAACAATAACTAAGCCTCTTACATTAATTGTCATAAGGTGCTGGTAGCGTAGAGAGCTCATGTTCTTGAGCATGTGACCTTCATCAAAAATTGCATAGTTAAGCTTCAACCTGCGAAACAGTCGTCGATCATCCGAGCTGCTAATTGCACAGTTGTATCTGTCAGAGAAAGATATCATAAGACACACATTAAATGCAAATGCAACATGAACATACCATTATCACAATCAATTACATTCACTTAAATCAAGAGTTATGGAGAGAATACATGACGGGCAGTAAGTAAAACTGCCTAGAAGTAACGAACCGTAACACAGTTTACTACTGGCAAATAATTACAGTTTACTTGAGGAGCCAGTGCTCTCCCTAACACTTTCCAAAAAAGTGTGCAAAGTAATATGTATCTCTTAGCATGTATTACGTAATTAATAGGTAATACCTAAAGCATCTATTACATGGTACCTCTCTCACCAAACTCCAGACATCGTTTTGTCGTACCGCTAGATTTTTTTTAAGCTCACTTGTTTAATTACTTACTTACGTAGTTACAACCACATTGAAATCGACAACTTTATTATTAATGTGCACCCTGAGATGCTTCCTGTCTTCTTGGGATCCTATAAAAGGACAAAACCTAAAATGAGTACAACTACATATATTTATATACATATAAAAATTAAGACAGTACACAGAAATACATTCAGCAATAAATACATGTATTTAAACAACTGTCTTAAAACAATGCTTCCATGAGCAATTAATCTTTTCTTAGGCTGAGCATGAAAGCATTGGATTAGTGGATTCATTTTTAAATTAGATTCCTCACCATAGTAAAAAAGGACCTTCAGTTCAGGACACCACAGACGAACTTCTCTTATCCAGTTATCTGTAAGACATCATTAAAATAAAAAACAAGTCATGTATACTGTATTATGTCTTACATAACTTCAGACACACCTGAGCCTTAAAGCAAACATCTGATTTTAAAGCAAATCCTTTTAAACTCTCCTGAAGGTAAAGAAACTTTCAGTCTAAATGCTGGAAAACTGATAATATTTAGGGAAATTATACAACCCACAACCGGGCTTTAAGTAACTCTTGCTTAAACAGCTTGCGCTTTAAACTCCTGCAGAAACAGACCCTGCACAGTCTGTAACCACCATGTAAAAACAATACAACGCTTAATTTTCCAGTCCGATTTCCTACCTAGACAGTTAATTCCTCAGAAAGCAAATCACTTCATTTGTCAGTACTCGCACTCAGAAGTCTTTCATCAGGAGAGACAGTGCCTCTGGGAGTAGGCGAGGAAGCCTGACAACACGACCCAGCTCCAGGTGTGCGGCCAGCGGAGCTGCCACCGGCAACGTTACTATGCCCAAGGGGAAGCTGCTTGGCAGCCAACACAAATGCTGACCCCCAAAGCACAGCAGAAGGTGATCTCTGGTAAATGCCACTTGACCTGGGCCGGACCCAGATCAGGGCTGAGGAGATGCCTCCAGAAAAGCATCAGGAAAGCTGCAGGTAGACACCACTTCCCAGGCATCCCCGTGCTGGATGGCTTGGCCAACCTGCCACTGCAATTCACGAGCCTCTACAATTTGCTTTACAAGTGCCTTCGTTTACACCTTTATGTACACTTCAAGTTTTAAGTAACATGCATTTTTAAGAGTTATTTTAAAAGATGACTTCTAGGGGATTTTAAAAGCACACTGAAAATGGCAATTTTGAACTGACGTTGAACAACTGGAAACTTTTCTGATGTGACAGGAGAAATTTTTGAAACCCGTATAAGTCTTTTATATTAAAAGCACCATTTTCTTTCTAAATTAAACTTGCTACTTTCCCCTTTCTATAATCATTCAACAAAACCAAACTTAACTCCACAGAGAACTATTTTCTGCGTAAACTCATCAGCTTCACCGACTTATTTTATTCCACCATATTCTTCCTGCTTTCGACTGAGGTCATTAAACAATCAAAACATTCAACTAAAAGACAGTCAAGCCTCAACATTTTAGGACTGTGATCTGCTTTGACAGATTCTGTTCAGCAAAGAGGAAGAGAGACACCGAACGTCTCAAATGCCATGAAATCTAATCCTAAGCACAGCCTGAAGACTAGGAATTACAGCCAATATTCAGTAAATAAAAAGACTACTTTGCTAAACAAGTTCAAATTGTAACAAGCAGCTTTATTTTTTGTGAAACATATCAAAAAAAAAAATTCCACATTAGGTCTAATTAATTCAGAACAAACATGCCTTCGGTATGCTTTGCATTCCAATTCAAATTATTTACGGGGTTGAATAGCACCGTAAGAAAATTTTCTTTCACAAAATTATCTTTGTTTCACAGTCTGTCCATGTTTGGTTTTTTTTTCCTAAACAAACAAATCATTTTGAAGCTTGTAACTTACCTAATGTTGAAGCTGGCACAACTATCAAATGGGGACCCCTATCGCCCTCTTGGTAGAGATAAGCTAGAAATGCAATAGCTTGAATTGTTTTTCCTAAGCCCTAAGAGAAAACAAATCCATTTAAACAAAATTTACAGTCTGTAGAACATAATAGTGTTTTGTACTTATAAGATAATTACAGTGTAGTCAATGTTAACTAAAGATTACAAATCTCCATAGAAAAATTGTTCTGTTTAACCGCATTATTTTAGAGAAGAAAATTCCTTCTTAAGTACAACTGCAGTCAAACTCCATTATCTTTTCAGCTCAACATTTGAATGTCAGGGATTCATCTTTTCCATTTATGAAGTTTTTCATTTTAGCTCAAGTTCATCCCTCAAATTGTCTTCAAAAATTTACCTTCCCGAAACAGTGCTACAGACAAATGATTACTTGGAAACTAATTGTTTCCTTCCATTTGAGCCAGTTGTACAAAGGCTATTCCAGCTATTTCTGAAGCAGAATAGAATACAGAAATCAGATTTGTTTAAGATAAGCCTATGTTTCCACCAGCACTCACTTTCCTGTCTTCTGTATCATGGATTTAAAAATTTATCTTATCAACCACGTAAGTTAGCTCTTAAAAACAGGAAACATACATAAGTTGAGAACCACTGCCTAAGTCTTAGTGAAGCAAATCCATCCATTCACTTGTGGTTCATCACAAGACAAACAGCAGCCAGGATTAAAAGCAACTGACAGCACATTTAGCAGCTGCATCACTAAGTTTGTTCTGGTTACTGGTGGTGTCAGCACCAAACAAAACCTCAAACCCATAAGCTTTTCTCTCTTATTTCAAAACTTATGGGGAGTGTAACGACAAGAGACGGCTGAAATGCTGGAGAAGCAGAGCAGATTTTGACCCACTTAGTTTTTTCTGTCTTGTTAACTACTTGTTTGGAAACTGATGGAGAAATGTAGAAGATAGGGGCTCACTACAACTAAATGTTGGACAAGTAGAATGAATTATATTTATGGGCAAGGAGCTATTAAAATGAATGGTTTGAGGATAATCTGTTGTGGTCGAAACTGCTTCCATTGCATAAGACACAACATGACTTGTAATTATCAGGGCCCTTGAATCTTAGGCTACCTTTAACTTTCAAATTAAAAGTAAGAGCTCAGCAGCTTCTAAACATTTGGACAAACTGTTTGCAATTTAAGTTATATTAGTTAAAACAAATTACTGAAATTCTTCCATTTCCTAGAAATCCCAAGCAGATTATAACAAAGTCAATTTTGCAAAACTTTTAACAATTCTTAAATAATCAGTTTCACACTTACCATTTCATCAGCCAATATGCCATTCAATCCATGTTTATGCAGCAGTGCTAACCAGTTCAAACCAATCTTCTGATATGGCTTGAGTTTCAAACTGTTAAGAAATCAAGCGTAACATGTTACCATCTTTCATTTGTTTCTCCGTGAAACACAACTTTATACTTACGTTAATCACAGAACTCTAAGTTTAACATTGCTTATGTTTAAATGCACTCTAGATCTCCTCATGTAGTGAAAAACATATTAAACATTATTTAACCAGTCATCTGAACATCAAAGAGCATTTCTGAACTTATTAAAAGTAGTTTATCTAAATTTTCATACATCTTAAATGACCAAAACGAATGTTACAATAAATACCTTTCTTTTAAAATCAGTGATCCACAACCAGTTAAAAGCAGTTACACAACTACTGATTTTTAAAACACACAAAATATTAAGTGGCATTAAGCAGACGCAGTACTAAGGTTTATCTGTTGTACAACTACTGGTGGTGTCGGCAACAAACAAAAAACCAAACCCACAAAACACACTCAATAGCAAGCCACCTAGTTCAGCATTTTTTGCCAAAGAAGAAACACCACTAATAAGCTCCCTCCAAACAGTTCCCTCTTCCTCTCAGGTTTTCTTTTGACACAGCTGAAAATCCTTTTGCTATTTACCACTAACAGCCTCCAAGTCTAATCCAGGTTGCTACTCTGGCAATTCCCACTTAAACCCTATGCTTCCTAACCCTTAGGATAATGCCCCCCACCATACCCATTGCCATTCCTCCTAAGCTCTGTCTTTATTCTGAATATCCCTTTGGAGATCCTTAGCAATTTACCTCTCTGAAATAAATCCTTCCCCAACACATCCCTGGTGCCCATTCCACTGGATACCGAGTTCCAGGTTGTTTTGTACATCTGAACTTCCTGACCAAGGCCTTCAGTCCAGCTGATAAACTTTACAAGTTCGCTCAGAATCATTTCAATTTGGCATCTTTGAAATATAAGGTCCCCCATTACAGAAGCAGTCTTGTTTGGCATTTTGTTTGAAATAAGTTGACAACTCATGATCCCATCACTCAAGGTTGGCTTCTACACTCATCAAAGCGTGGAGCAAGTAAAACACAGTATTAAGCACTGTTGTATCTTTTTATATTCTTCTCCTCATCATCAGCTTTCCTGATACACTTAAGAACATCTACTGGATTCCCTCAAGTGTTGCACATCACTATCTAGCTCACTGAGAGGTGCCAAGTGTCAAACATTTGCAACTCTATTTCCAGAGACTAGTTTTGAAAATCCCAGTCTTACAGTTCACCTTATTATCTGACTCCCTTGTAAGTATAAAAAAAGAAAAGATACCTCTGATTCAGAACGGAGGGTTGCTCTATGTTCCACCCACATCCGCCATCTTCAGTAATCCTGGTTACTTGTTTTGTCAGTTTATTTGAAATGCCTTCACATTTATTCATGAGCTTTAGAACCACTTCCCTCTCCTTCAGCAGTATCTTGCAGTTCCACACTATGTCTTCTGACAAACCAGTAGTCTTAGTCATTTTTGTAAACTGCAAAATAATAATAAAAAAATACTATGAACACTGATAATAGCAGCAAAGGTGCCACAGTGAAAATCCACAGCTGCTGCAGGCAGCAAGTAATTCAAGTAGCAGACAGCAACAGCATCCCGATCTCCTCTTAAAACTTCAAATATTCTTTACACACTTGGCCCACTGCAAAACTGTGTGAATCCACGCTGAAGGTCATCATTACAGTTCCTCGCACTGTAAAACATATCTTAAAATAAAACAGACAACTTCTCTGAAGAGTTTCTAATGTAAAATATAGGAGCTTTAAACTCTTAAAATCCTCAAGGGGAAACAACACACAGCGCAAAGCAAGCTTCGAAGGCCAGGCCCACCAACAGAACAAAAACCACAAAAGGAAGAAAAAAATGCACTGATTATCATTAGATGTCCTTTTAAGCAATCCCTATTAGACACTAAAGATATAAGATGTAAGCATAATGTAGGCATCAAGGCAAACCAACCTATTAAGGTGGCTATTAAAATTTTATTATGAATCCATTTGGAGTTCAGCATTATTCAGTCCCAGTTCTAACTGTACCACAAATGGCACAGTCAAACCGGACTTAGGCAGTCTGGAAAAAAGAAAAAAAAAAAATAATTTAAGGGGTAAGAAGTTTCCCAAAACTATGTCAGGTTTTTCGTGGTCACCAAGTACTGACAGGCCCAAAAGATCAGCAAGAATTGGTTCGTTCTTCTCAGTTCTTCACATCCCAGTGTTGGAGGAGAATTTCTTCACCAAGCTAAGATTCACCTAAACTCTTTTTTTTCTTGCAACGAACCCGACCTCCTGTGAAATCTATGAAACACACACTTACACAAATCTATGAGGTCATTAGCACTTGCCAATACATTTTCATGGGCAGTATGATCATCCTGACAAGGTTTTAGCACCATTCAGTTTCTCCTTTTTTTTTTTTTTTTGGCACATGGATGTTTCAAGTCAGCATTTACCCTCATTTTACAGAGGGACAAACAAGATAAAACACACAAATACCTCTTCTAAACGTCATAGCAAACAAGCTAGCAGAGGACAAGTCAAGATACCAGAATCGCAATGTAAATACAAATTAACACATGGCCTGTCCACCTCTGCTGAGCATGCCCGGTTTACAAAGACGAAGCACACCACTGTCTGAACCAAAAACTTGCAGCTGAGCCATGTCAACAGCCGACACTCAGTATCACTCTGGCTCCCGATCCCACAATAAGGCATTCCCTCCTTTCTTGGCGGAGGAGAGATCTTTAAGTGCTGTAATCACTCTGCCCCCGCATCCTCATCTTCTCAAACCACACGTGTTCCCACCTTGACCAAGGCTAACTTCATCCACTGCTTAGTACTCTGAGTCTACTACTAAAAGCAGACATTGCTTCACTCATGCTTCCCAGCAGATGCATCTAACCTAGCATCTTTTTTTTTTTTTTTTAAATAATGGCTCCATGTCACAATCCTTCCTAAATCTATCACGAACACATGCTTCCTCTAAGAGCTTTGGATCTCTTTGTTGTAATGAAAATTGCTACTCACGAGTTTCATTCTCACAACCTTGTGCCAGCTACAGGTCTATCATCTCACACTATGTCTTTAATTAAAACTTAAATTTTCCTATTTTTTCCTTTTAAACTATAAAGTATTATTAATTTTGACACACAAGCCTTACTTCCACCACTCCCTTCAAGTCCACACTAGTCACTTTATATTTCCTTCCACCAAACTTTGTATCTTCGCTACAAAATGGATATTCTCCATTTTCGAGCCAAGAAGCCTGAAGTTGTGTCAAAACAGGCCCAGCAGCTTCTCCTGGATTCCATGTAGGACCATCTGCAGAAAGTGTAAAATCTTGTAATAAATTATTTCTGCAGTAACTGGGGTCATATTTTTAATTATAGTATTTTCATGCATATTTATGCATAAAGTTATTTCACTGTAAAGAACAGACATCTTCCTTTTTTATTAATGGATTTAATGAGTTGAAGAATACAAGATCCTTTGGATTTGCCAATCTTTTCTTAAAATATATGTAATTTCCACATAGATTTTTCTGAATTTTAAATCAGGGATCTGTCAAAATTTAGCACAAGACTTCACAGGCATATATTCTCCTAGACTTCTTTCCTTAAAAAAAGAAGGGGTCAAATGATCCAGCTATTACGTGTAAGTAACTGATCAATATTGCCACATTGCAGAGTAAAGGCAAGCTTTGTTAAGCTAAAGTGTACAAGCAGGCTCTGCTTTGACTCCAAAAAAAATAAACAGAAATGGAGTGATGCTCTCTACTGACAGCCTGCGGGGTTTTGGTTTGTTTGTGGTTTTGTCCCATTTTAAACAAACTCCAGAAAGTTTACCAGCACTCATAGGCTAAACCAGGTTAAGGTACATATGTCAACACTTGCAAATAAGTTTTCTAAATAGACCCCTCTATTTAGAAATAAAAAAAAAAAGAGATGTAAAGAACAGAATTTTTAATAGACAATTAAAAAATTTCAACATTTGTTTTGACGCCTAAAGCTTTCGTTGGCATGAATATAAATCCTGTAATCTATAAATAAAGGCGTGGAGAATTAAGCCATCTGTTATTAAACAGAAATTGTATTGTTTCGTATCAGCACGTTAACATTCATCTCCAAGTTACAACAAGAAAACCTTTAGCCATTGGTTTACACGTGAGTGTTACCCTGTCGTGCAGAACACAAAGCAGATCCCCAGGTGGCCTTTGGTTTACTAAATGTTCTGACACCCTCCTTGTTGTGTGTTTGGTGGTTTTTTTTCCCAAATGAGGTCCAAAAATGTGAGACCATCATGGACAACTGAACCCATGAGCTTCCACAGCACACTGTGGAGAAAGGTCCACTGGAGCCCTGGGTAGTGCATAACTCTCACACCGGCACGCTCTGCTTGGGCTGACTTTACACCACTTAAACGTGATTTAGGATTTCACTTTACTGCTTAAGGGCGAAAGTCAGCCTCGATCAACAAACTCCAGTTCCATTTTAGGCAGTTCCCATTTCTAACCTGATGCATTTGCTGCTTCCCTTCAGTTTGCTTAGGTGCAAGGTGCTTCTGGATTTCCTGCTAGTTTAGTTTTCACAGCAGTTTGTACAAGTGCAGCCAAAGTGACAGATGATAAAAAAGCTGAAGCTACCCTCCCTTGAGTTTCTATCTCCTAGGTCATATACTACTGGAGTATACCGAATAGGATGGTAAGTTCATCTTTGACTGCTCAGTTCTCCCATTCCTCTAAACGTGGCAAGTTAAATATATGCTGTGTCAGAATTTCTATGTCATATTTTGCATCAGTTTAACTTGCATGTACTCCTTAAGAATTTGTAATTTTTAAAAACAATACATTGTTTAATTCACATCAACTCTTTAAATGCTGAAGGAGGTGGCTTATTTTGTCATAGAATAGTATCATGAATGAGAGAAATGAGACGATACAGCAAATCTCATACAGATACATATGTTTTTACACTAAAAGGAAATTCAAGCAGTTAACAATTATAAACCTTAAAAATAAGAAACTAAATACCATTAAACTCCCTCCAGTTTGTACCCCTGCATTTACCAGAGGCAGCGCGAAATGGCATTAAGCACACACAACGGGTCAAGGAACATAACACCTCCCCAGACCCCAAAAGCTCAGCCAAGCTCCTTCTGGAGCCTGTCTTGGTTCTGCCCTCGGTCCCTGGCACGCACTGAACGTGGGCCGCTATTGCTGCTCCGTGACCGTGTTTACAGCCTGTCTGTTGAGGAAACGGTGCCGAGAGCTGCTGTTTCCAACAGCCTGGAAAAGAGAGCGCCATTAAAATATAATCAAGCGCCAATGAGGTTTTTTTAGAGGAGTGCAAGTGAGGAGAAAGGGTGATGGGTACACAAAAGTGTTTTCCATCAAGAAACCATGCTGTCTGCCAGCCCACAATGTGTGCCAGTGGGGTGTCACCAGGACCCCGACGTAAACAGGAGAGGAAAGTGGGAAGTCAACGCAGGACCACCAGGAGGGGAGGTATCTCTGACAGCTGTCCGTTTACTAACGCATGTCTGTCCCAAGGAGGTGTAGACCATGAAGCTGGTACAGGGCAGGCCTGCACCGTGACAGTAAAACATCACTGAACACTGGCCCCATGAACAAAAGCTGTCTAACACGTGACATCAGACCAAGACACAGGGAGGTGAACTTTCCTCTTCACCCTGTCCTGCAGTCTGCTCTGAGCCCTCGTCTTCACCTTGCCCTCCACAGCCAGCCATGTTCTTGGTGTTCCCCGCTCCCTCTCCTCCTAGCCCTCACAGCCCTGCTTTCTGACCATCTTTTGGTTTGCCTACCCCTGCATCCCCATCTACCCCCCCTGCGTTGTAATACCCAAATCACAGAATAGATGAGTTGGGAAGAGACCTCTGGGATTATCGACTCCAACCTTTGCCCTAACACCACCATGTCAACTAGACCATGGCACTAAGTGCCATGTCCAGCCTTTTCTTAAACACCTCCAGGGATGGTGACTCCATCACCTCCCTGGGCAGCCCATCCCAATGCCTAATGACCCTTTCCGTGAAGAAATGCCTCCTTATTTATAACCTGAACTTCCCCTGGTGCAGTTTCAGACGATGCCCTCTTTGTCCTGCCACTAGTTGCCTGGGAGAAAAGGCCGATCCCCACCTGGCTACCCCCTCCTTTCAGGTCGCTGTAGAGAGCGATCAGGTCTCCCCTCAGCCTCCTCTTCTCCGGACCAAACCCCCCAGCTCCCTCAGCCGCTCCCCATCAGACTTGTGCTCCAGACCCTTTACCACCTTTGTTGCCCTTCTCTGGACTCGCTCCAGCACCTCAAGGTCTTTCTTGTGGTGAGGGGCCCAGAACTGAGCACAGCACTCGAGGTGCGGCCTCACCAGTGCCCAGTACAGGGACAATCACTGCCCTGGTCCTTCCCAGCACGGGAGAGCTGCTCCTCATGAGCTTCTGCTCCGGCATCTCCCATCTGGGCATCACACCTCCTCTGCTGTCTCTGCTCCATGCTTGGGGTTGCTTCTACAGCACAGGCACCTGGGACCCACCCTTCCATCCTCAGAAAGCAACATGCAATTTTAAGTTGTGAATACGAGGAGTACTCAGAAAGGTGTTCTCTCAGAGCACACATCCCAATCTATTTCATTACCTGCTACTCTCCCTACGCACACGACATTCTGCAGAGAGGGCACAGGTCCTCGGACAGAGAAGCATCGCTTCTCCAAATGAGACAGACAGACCCCTAAAGCCTAAAGAGCAGACCTGAGCACTCCTTATGCAAGTGAAGTGTTTGAGAGGAGGCACTCCAAGCCTGGCACCTCCAGCACCGAAGACTGGATAAAACTACCCTCCTGGAAAACGTAGCTGATCTGCAGTATATGCATTTCTAAATTGCCAAAGGAATTAATCCTTGCGAGCAAGGATACTTTCAGCTCTCTCCATTTATTTTTTGAGAACCAAGTTTGTGAATTTTTTTCCCTGTGTATTTTAAATGTTACTTGATCAAGTTAAACAACTGTCTTAAATATCTGCTCCAAAGGATAAGTATTTTCAAGTGCTCTTAATAACTTTGCAAGCTTGAAATTCATTTAAATCCATCTGGAAAAAAAAAAAAAAAAAAATCTTAGCCCAACTTAAAAAGCTTGTCCAGAATAAAAAAAAAAGCCATTTAATTTACGTTTTCCTGGAATAAGATGTTCAATTTCCAAATAAGTAGGCTTTAGTCTTAATCTCAGGCTGAGAGCCTTAAGATCTTCCTCAATTCTAACAATGAACAGGTGGTAACAACTTCTAGTGCTTTACATTGTGTTACAAAAGACACCATTACAGTAAAAAGAGACCTTAAAACTAAGCCGGTTTCTTTAATGCTGAAACTGAATCAGCTCTCTCCATTATTATATCACTTTTATTAATTAGTAAGAAAAACGTTGGGTCACTGAGCTACTGGATCTTTATAAACAATTAAAACCACACTGATATGAAACATCTGCTAAAGTCTGCTGCAAATTACTTCTACTCTGGGCAAGTATTCACAATACTACATAAACATGTGGTTGCTGACAGCAGCAATCTTCATAAAAGACTAATTTTGAACACAAACAGGCCCATGCAGCTTTTTTTCTGTTAAATATTTTACACAGAGAAAATGAGAACAGCCCTGTAGCAAATATTTCTGCAAAGAATTAAGCTCAGGCAAAATCCAACAAGTTTAGAAAGGAATAGCCGTATGACAGATGTTCTGCGAGAAGCCAAAGGCTTGGGGCAAAACGGATTTCTTTTGCAGCATACCTGTACCTTGTATTTTTTCCAAGTATCCTCCTCTTGTCTCCCTCCCTTGCAACACAACATACAGAGATCATTTTGTCTTCTTTAAAAATCTGTTTAGTATCTCTTACTGTTTTGTGGCAAAACATTTCACACACCAAATAATAAATGTTATTGTTTTACACATATTGAAGAAGTTCTATTCTGCTTGGAAAAAATACAAACGGACCTTGCATACATCAGTGGAGGGGGCTTCAGAAAACATACTGATGAAAAAAACATACCAATTACTCTGTAAGAGGGCCTACGCACAGTTACTGCTTTAAAATCCAAAGCACTAATAAATTAAACCAAGAAAATCTGCCGTAATACACTTCAAACTTCTTACCAGGACATTGCTCTTATCAGGTCTGATGTCTCAGAGTTAACTGAAACTGCATGAAACAAAGGCAACAAACAAACCATGGGAAACATTTGAAAGTAAGATCCCAGTGAGAGCACATAATCTACTTACCAAGAGGTATCGTTTTCCCTTCTGTGATGGACTGTGGTTTAGACTTCTGATGCTTTGCCTTTTACTAACAAAAACACAGCAGCTCACTCCACTAAAAATGGCTGCATTGCTCAGCTAGCAAAACCATACTAGAGACTAAGCTGCAGTAGATTAAAGAAAAAAAGACAAAAAAAGGCAACGACTGTTTCTTGTATGAAACTGAAAATATCCATGCTGGCACCTTCAATCATGGAGCTACCCTGGAAGCAGCTGCTGCTGTTCAAGTGTCTGCAGTAAAGGTCCTGCCACGCTCGTTGCCTCCTGCATGGGTTTTCAACTACAAGAGCTCAGAACAGGCTAGCAAACACCTCCTTCCCAACTGAAAGCTCCAATTTCTTCTTCTGCAGTGAAATCAACCAACTTTCTATGCTACAGAGTGAGTGACAGTAATGTCAGCCAATCAGCTTGAGTGTTCCAGGAAAATCACCCCTTAATTCATTCAGAATCAGGTCATCTGACACTATTTGAAACGCTATTGGCTTAGGAGGAACATTGCATTTTAGCCTAATCAGGATAAGGCCACCCATCTAAGCCTCCCTAGGCTGAAGCCACCTTGGCTCTAGGCAGGCTAGGGATAGGAAAAGAAGAATGCAGACCTACCAGAGCCTCCCAGCTGTTAAAGGGCCGGAGCGCTATTATCTTCTGAGTCTTCTTCTGAGAACACTGGGGAATCAAAGTCAGTTCGCTCGGGGAAGCATCCTGCAGGAAGCTGAGGATTTTCGCTTTGTAGACATCCTCCATCACTTCGTCGCTGCTGCTGTAGTCCTCGTCAAGGGAGCTACCGCTGTCTTTGGAAGCTGACTCGTCCTCCGAGTCTTCTGCTTCTCTTTTAGTACTCCAAATGCTCCTTTTGCCGTTGTCCTTTTTCGGAAAGCCGTTCTGCTCTTTCCCAGAAGATTTCTGCTTTGGCTTCTCTTTACTCTCGTCACTTCTGCTCTTGGCGGAGACTTCGGTCCAGTCAGAAGCTTCACTTTCGGGAGGAAATTCCATGCCTATGCATGCAATATCGAAGGCAACAAGTCAACTCATACTGGTTAAGGGCGAATTAAAACCCACCGTTCTTCCAAAATAAAACCTACATAGTTCTGTCTTAAAATACAGATGATCAACGCTATGTAATATGTACGAGCGGCAGAAGCTCTGAGGCAAAGAGCAGATAGTTAAGAACTCTGATGTATTGCTGGGATGAGATACTGGTCCCATCCACCCAACTGCAGAGACATCAATTCTGCCGATTGCAAAAAACAAGCCTACTTTCACCACAAAAATTAGGTATTTTTTCCATTTTAGTGCATCTCAGTACAGCATTAGATGTGGGACAACAAAAACATGCACTTGTTAAAAGAACTGGAAGAACAAGGTATTTCTGACCAAAAGAATCCCATTGTCTTAAAGTAAGATAGAGGTTATTTAACACAATGTGAGCAAGTCATTTTCAGAAGTGATTTGTATGAGTTTTTCTTCCTTCTTTGGAAGAAAGCACTTGCAACGCTTTCTCTTCTGCCCAATCCCAGCTTGCTGCTGATTGACTCCCAATGTCTACCTTCTCAGAAGCAGCAGCAGCAGGAAAGACCCATAGCAATAGCTCTCTCCACTCGTAAAGAATCCAATTAAGAATACTATCCTATCTCAAGAATAGTTAAATAGCTGATATAGCAAATCATATACATTTCAGTGTTACACAGCTGTCCGATAAATACTATTTAATTAGTTGATTACTTAAGTTATAACTCAATAGCTCTCTCCACTCGTAAAGAATCCAATTAAGAATACTATCCTATCTCAAGAATAGTTAAATAGCTGATATAGCAAATCATATACATTTCAGAGTGTTACACAGCTGTCCAATAAATACTATTTAATGAGTTGATTACTTAAGTTATAACTCACAGATTTACCTGGAATCGCAGTTCTTGCTCTCGACCACATTTAATGCACTGGTATTTACAACTTGGTTGCATAATTTAAGGCCTATTTCTAGTATTTTTGTCTCTATATTTTAAAAGGATAAAATAGCATGTGTCACTTGTCACCTATCCAGTTATTTGTGATTACTGATCTATAAATTACTCCAGTTAAATGAAAACTTATTTTTAAACAAACAGGAGGGGAGCAGGTGTCAGCTTTTGACACATTTTAAAATATATTTTATGATATACCCACAGGTAATTACAACTTCTTATGTAAATCTGTATTAGCAAGGCAAAGATATTTATCTCTGCTTACAGAGCAAAAGATAAAACAATCATGACACTTAAATACAGAAAAATTGAGTTTACTTCCTCCCTTTATCCTCCCCATAAGACCAATTTCAAGTATCAGTGCAAGTTTCTAGGCACAGTGCTGTCAGGAGTGTCATTGCTGGACAGTAGAAAAGATTTGTATCACAAGTCTGTTTTTGGTTCGTGTTGGGACAAAATGGATTACAAATCTGTCTTTACCTTCACCATCTTTTGCAAATACTCTCAGGGCCTCCAGTGCTTCATGAAACACCCAGTTATGCTCCTGAAGTACATCTCTCAGTTCCTAGTAAAAGATAAGAAATTTTGTATTGTGGCGAGATAAGCAAAAACCAAATTTCTGTGCCTAATAACATTAAGGCACTAACAATTTTAGTTGCACAAGGCAAAGGAAAAGCCCTGTAAATCAGATGATTCAAAATAAAGGACATCAAAAGGAGAAAACCCTTCTGTTTATTATTATACATTCAGTTTAGGCAGAGCTGCACTCCACTTTTCAAAAGGGTAAGAATACACATAAACAAGCTTTGCTTCCAACAATTTAAAACACAGTATTAAAACGCTCTGACCAGTTGCTGAGTATCGTCAGGCACTAAACTAATACAAAGCACACTGTATATTTAGTCGTCCAAGGGAGAACAGTGCAAGAGAGAGGGAGGGATAATTTCTCTCTGCACTTTTATAGTAGGTTTGTGAGTCCCAGGTTTGTCACAGGACCAAAAAATGAGGATACGCAGTTCCATATAGTCCTGATCACATCCAACTGCTCTCAGTTCAGGGCAAGTTACATTCCAAAAGCTGCAACAGCAAAGACCTTCCTATCCTCGGCTCTTTCCAAGAGTGCTGCTGCTGTAAGAACTGTTTCATTTGGGCTATCAACTGCTGCAATTTTCTTAACTCAAAACCTGATGTGCCATCGGGAGACATAAACTCACCTCCTTATCCAATCCAGGGAATGTATTTTGCAGCTTTTTCACAAGCACCTCTTGCCTCTCCCATTGTCTTTGGGGTTCTGACTCATCCAGCTATGTTAAAAAAAGAAATCTATTAGGTTTGAGGTAAATCACAAGCATAGAAACAGGAAAAAGAAAAATTAAAAGCAATCAAACCTAATCAATATTGCTTACCCTTAAAGAGTCACTCTAAATGACAAAAGCACTTAAGAAAAATCCAAGTTGTAGAAGTGATTCCTCCTACATAGCCGATGACCAAAGTAAGACCAAAACTTTCACAAGCATAGAAAACGTCTTTAGTCATTAAAGACTGGCATTCTTTACTTGATAAGCATACACAGTGCAAAGTTCCATACCAAAACAGAAATAATTTAGAACTACCAGTTTGTATTTCTTTAAAATAAAGTTAGTAGTGATTCTGATATTTAAGGCAGAAGATGACAGGGTTAACAGTTAGGTTAGATTACCAAGTGTGCAGTATTTAACCCACCAGAGTCTACAAACATGTCAAATGGTGTGTTTATATGAAGATTTACAGGTAAAAAAATCCACAAATACTGTGTCACAGCACCATAGAGTCACATTAAAAGCTGGCAAAACTTTTCATCAACAATACCTTCACTAACAGCTACTATCAGCCTGCGAAAAGGGAGGTTTCTTATGAACGAGCGCCAAAACTTCTACATGCCACAAGCTGCTGTTATGTATTCACCGCAAAGAATTATGCAAATTTCTTCACAGAGCTTTGAATGCAAAGCTGTTACAGATCTACTTATCTACAGCAGAGATGCCAACAGGTTTGATCAATATTTACTTTGCTGAACGATGCTATTTGCTAAAGAGCACAAACCAGATCACCCAGAAGCACTCCAAGTAACAGAGGACACTGTTCCTTTCTTCAATGAGCCTACGCTACCATCAAGGGTACAGCTACAGCACATACAATAGCTGGCAAAGTATGCTCTAGTCTTAGGAATCAGCTTAGGAACCAGAGGAAAAGTAAGAGCGAGAAAAAAAATCCCTGCAAGCTTTCTCACTATGATTCTCTATTACAAATTCTAAAAACCTGTGTTTCAGCTTTATTTTCCCAACCCTTCCCCTTTTAACTGTAATGCAACTGTTAAGCACAGAAATCAAACTGCTGCATGAAACCAGGTCCAGTGAAGCATTGTTTGCTAGGCTGGCTGGGTAATAATTCAACAAAGTCTCCTTTGTAACCTAACCCAGGAACAAACCCAAACCCCCACAAATCTTGCCTCACAAAATTCACAGCTCTCCTCCAGGAACTAGGGGAATATGAGTAATATTATTTTTGCTTTCATGGAAAACTGCATTTTCTTCATTTCATTCTGATTGAGGACATGTAATAATTCAACAAAGTCTCCTTTGTAACCTAACCCAGGAACAAACCCAAACCCCCACAAATCTTGCCTCACAAAATTCACAGCTCTCCTCCAGGAACTAGGGGAATATGAGTAATATTATTTTTGCTTTCATGGAACTGCATTTTCTTCATTTCACTCTGACTGAGGACATTATTTGCTTAAATTTCAACACAAAGATAGTCATCATCATCCATCCATCCTCCAGTATTTACTGTAATTCCCATTCTCTACCATAAGTGGTTTTCAAGGATGTCTACTGGGATGCCTGGGAGCTGCCCTCATGACAGCACTGTAGGACTGTGCATAAGATCTGCCAAACACCAACCTGAACGCACCAGAATCATTACACAGATCCTATTTACTAGCACAGGTCAAAATAATCATTCATTTAAACGTAACCAATTCATTCCTTCTAAATATTTCCCTAAGTCATAGTTTCAAATATATCCATAAGCAACATTACTTCTACAACACAGAAGAACAACAGCAACAGATGTTGAACTTCATCTGTTTGAGGAAACAAGGAATGACCAGATGAGACAAGGTGATCCATAGCCTGTAACTCCCACTGATGTTCATGAGAACTGAACAGTACCCAGGGCCTCACATACTGCTACCTGCCATCAACCACTTCCACGACAGCAGCGAACAGGCTATTGGGATTCAAAAGCGCAAACACTAAAGAACAAGGCAGGTAATTCCATTCAGGAAGGAGAAAAGGCAGAAAAACCTCATTTGGATGGCAAGATTTGAATTTGACTGCATTTTCTGCCAGAACACACCAAGTATGTTCAAACACCACCACTGTCATTGACCAAGTCAGGTAATTCCACTCATTTTACAATGCACAGAGAAAAAACAGTACTTACGTAATTAGTTTTTGGCTTTTTTGTGACTTCATTTCCATTTTTGCAATTTGTGGGAGAACTTTCTAGTTTCCTTTTACGAGAGGGAGCTTTAAAAAGAATCGAGGCAGAAAAGAAGAATCAATTAATTTCATTAAGTTCACCCCAAAACAGTAGGATCATTGAAACCAAAACTATAGTAGCTACTTATTAACTGCACAACATGTTTACCAGTCTGCATAATATTTTCTTATTATAGGTCACAGATGCATTGAAACTTCAAGCAAAGCAAAGCAGCTGCTTGAAAGTATGTGTTTATTCACCTTTAAGTTTTCTTTATTAGTTTGGCAATTAATCAAGCAATTACCTCTCACATGCAACAACTAAAATAGCTTTTGTTTTTTAATAATTGCCAAGTGTTTTACACACAAATTGCATAAAGGTATATGTCTATTTGTTTTTATTCAAGCTGACTGCTTTTGGAAAGCAGGTATTTAATCAAGGCTGAACCTCAGTCATGAGTTGGAATATGTACACCGCTGCCAATCTGGAAGTGCTGATGACTGGTTTCTGGCTCAGATACACACCAGAGAGGTTACCACCAAACAGTTTTCAACATTAAATCCAAATGTCTGAAAGAAAACTATGTATATTAAGTTGGTGATAACTAAATATCAGCGATAACCATATTACTTATGAATACTTCACATGAGCCAGAACTTTCTGAATATCTTTGGGCCCTGGCAACTATCAAAAGATTATCATCTTAGGATTAAGACCTGCCCTGTCAGGTGCGTCTTCTGACTGCCACACCATGCACAGTTCACGAAGGCAAGAACACATTACCACTATTTCTCACATTAGCTTTGCTTGAAGTAGCATCCAGACAACGTGCCAAGGGAGGGGATGCTGCTCTCCTTCACCATTCAGACCTTGACCTTTCTGCCCAAGAACCTCATTTAAGCAATACTGCCAGGGAAAGCCATGCTACCAGCTTAAGTCTGAGAAACGTGTGTTTATCTTGCTATCAAAGCTAAGGGCTGTCAGGCTGCTGTTGGGTAAAGCACTAGAAGTTATGGAGGCCTCATGCTATTACAGCTTAAGCTCAATTAAAACTGCATTCAGGATGGGTAATTCTGAATACAGTGACTCTGCAAACCTCTACTCTAAAAAATACATGGGCTCCATATAAGATTATTTCTCTGCTTTTAAGTCATGGGCTGAGCACTCACTAGTCTTTGAAGAAAGCCCAATCGTGAGCAATTTTAGAGGCAATTAAACTGTAGCAAAGGATCTGGATAACCATGGCCTCAGGAACCTGTCAACACAGACTGATTTAGAAATCAACCTGTGGTCTTCTGAAACATACCACATCTGCAAATCACAAAAAAAATTCCAGCCTTCTGAAGACATTCATTTTGCAAGGTGCACTTAATTATTCCTTCCTATGCTAAGGGAGCATACAGCTGAGGGGATGAAGAAAAACTCTTGTTACTGCTAGACAGAAACCATCCTTGGAGTGGAGGCATGGCACACCGGGCTTTCCAGAGGAATCCTTGTTCTCTCCATAAGTTTTATGATTAACAAGCAATGAGAAAAGCAGCTCCAGGGTTTCAAAACTTAAGAGAGGCATCTGTAATTATTTCTACTGTTATTTTCTGCTACCAATACAAAAAAACCCTTACTGTGACTTCCCCCAGCATTACAAAAGAAACAGCCATTTCTGCCTGTTCAAAAAGCACTGAACAGCAGACAGGTTTACATGACGCTTCAGCTCAGAAGCACCCTCGCTGATTTAATGGTTTAAGATGCACAGAAAACACCAGAAACAAATCACAAGCAGCAGGTATTACTATAACTTCGCATCTTTCATTCATACACTTATTTTCAGTGTGTCACATCTAATCTTCATACCTCTAAGTCATCTGCAATGCTCCTTGTTTTAGCTATACACAACTACTGAATTCAAGTTACAGATACAAGTTTTTGTCATTGTGAAAGGACAGAAAAATTCGAGGATGACTCGGCCACACATTTTTAGCAAAGCCATGCTTCACAAAACTGTGTCTTGTCCCTGACCTCTCGCACAGTCAACACTTCACAAGTAAAGCATATCATAAATTGACATAGATAAGCAGATGTTCAGTAATGTCTCAATTTTTTAAAAGTGTGTCCAAAATGAGGTGATTTATACCACCACTTTCAGGCATGCTTACTCCTAACTAAATATTTTACAACAGCTGTGATTAGTGAGAATTTCGCTGCCAAGAAGATTCTTCTGTGGGCTCGTATTGAAAGGATGTGAAACAGCAGTCTTGGATCAACACAAAAATGGCCAAAAGGCAGGGACTACATACCAGAAATCAAAGTGTTTTAGTTCAAACACTGTGAGCTGCAACGAAGTTTAAGGATATATATTAGCTTAATATTAACCAAAACCCTTGAGAAGTAACTGATTTAGCAAAAAATCTTTTATAAAGGGAGTAAAACTCTTCTGCTTCGGTACATGAGATTCCTAGACCTACTGCTTCCAAATCCATAGGATACTGCATGAAAAGACACACAACTGCTTAGAACAACTAAAATAATCAAAAGTGATCATAGATAGCTTTTTCCATCGTATCCAAACCATGAAGATCTTACAGGAAAACCACGGACAACTGAACTGCAAACAGAGGGAGACTGCTCAAAAGCATTAGCTTTTTATAATGATATTGATATTCATACCAATCTTCCACTCTTCTCCTTGCAACCTCAGTAAATCCATCAAAAAGATTAATGTAAGAGATTTAACCCTGGACTTAGATGATGTCAAGAAACAAACCCAAAGCCCAAGAATGATGACCCTTTTACATGCTTACCACTTTCTACACACTCTCACATCATGTGTTGGGTTTTTTAGTTGGTTGGTTTGGTTTTTCAGGTTTTGTTGTTGTTGATGAGACCGCATAAATTCAGATGCGGAACAAAAAACCCTAAATAAGCTCTGAGGGCTCAAAGGCATGGTTTGGGGGATGTTTTGCTAGAGAACCATGGGGATTTGTCTAATGTTTAAGACTAGCAGATCTTATTCAGAATTACAAGCAAGTCTTGAAGTCAACCTGAATAGAAAATTGTGACGGGCCTTGACACAAACCTAGTTATGAGTGGCGACATACTCCAGTAGATTTTTTCCATACCATGAGATTTCTCATCTACAACATTTAGAATTACTACAACATTTAGATTTAGGCAAATCCATTACTATTTGCCTCAACTCCTGGGCAAAGGAGGAATCAGCAAGAACAGAAATCACTTAGGGATCCCCATGTAAAGCAATCCTGAGTTTCACAGAACAAATTCTCCTTTTTTGTTCTCTTTCTGGATTTTGGTCCACATCCTCTTTTCATCTTTCCTCTTGCAAAGCCTGTAATTTCAGTTTTGTGTTATTACAATAAACAAACAATAGTATAACTTTTCACATATGCCTTACCACTTTTTAAATACCTCCCAACCAAGTTAACTTCACTGAATTAGCTACAGTGTCTCAAGTTTGGTTTTGAGTTTGTTAAACATACCTTCGTCACTGAACTTCAAAGCAGCAGCTACCGCTTCATCCATTGTGCGTGTTGATGCTATCAACTGCAAAAAAAAAAAAAAGCCAATTGTTAAGTGGTGAGATTTAATCCAGTTGAACAGAGGAGGACAACGACAGGTTAGCATGATTGAAATACGCTTTAAAAGACACCCCAAAAATACATGTATTATAAAATCAAAGAACAAAATTAACAGGTACCAAATTAGCTAGATTGATGACACTTGGAAACACTTTAAGAAACCAACTGGAAAACATTTTTAATGCAAACTCATTTATTACCACTTTTTTTCCTACTTCACAAACATCCCCTGCAGGTTTACTTAAAAGCTTTTTTTCAAAAACTATTCAATGTTACTACCACAAAACCAGATGAATAAAAAACACTAATTTCTTAACTCATAAAATGTATACTCTGTATACTGTTATGTCACATTAGTCGATTTCCTGAAAGCACATTCAAGAAACTTGTAACATGCCTCAAAGTTTATACCTCCTTGCAGTCCTAGATGCCTTCTCCATCCATATGTAATGTCAAAATAGATCATTTTTACAAATTAATTGGATGTTGAGACTTTTAGAATGCTTTTTGCAAGTGAGATAACTGCAACAGAAGCAAATGGCCTAAAGGTTACAAACATGAAAAAGCACAAAAAGTGAAGTTATGAGGAATCCTGATTCTCAAGTATCTGTCCACATTTGTAAACAGCATCTTACAATTCTGCTATAAACACAAAATTTCCTTTTCAAAAGGCTCACAATTTTTCCTTAATAGCCTTCATCAGTTGCATACGGTTTGTCAGGTCAGACTGTTCCAGGTCTTTCATGAAGAAACAATAGATTTGCCTAATATTCCTCTGTCTTTCTTCAAAAATGTTGTGAATATGTAACTGTGGACAAAAATTTGCACAGCCTCTATGTACTAAGTTCTGCTGATACAGGAGCTATCTTACACTCTCCTGAGAAGTACCATCAGCACTACGTATCACCAAGTAGTTAAACCCACCACTGATGTCACAAAACAGCAGTCAGACACACCACGTGTCATTTCTAGCTAGTTTCTAAGCTATGATGAACTGTTATCACTCTTTGGTTTAAATACATTCTATGTGGCCAAAAATTGAAACTTCATACATTCTAGACACCTACAATGTAAATTTTATTACAGTGTCCAGGAGAAAAATTCCAAAACTGCTATTTGCAACCCCTTCTTTCTTCCCAAAGTAGAAATTTAAACAAAAAGCTTGATCCACTGGGAAAAAAAACACCCAGCAAAGAGGAACAGTAAAATTTCTATATTTCTTTAACGATATTTCAACGACCAGGAAACTTAACAGATTAATTTCAACACTTTTAGCTTTGAAAACTAAAGCTAGTGAAAACCTAGTTACATACCAGCACTGAAAAGCAACTCTGCTAAAAATGTATTTTACTGTACTGAAGATATTTTACTGTAATAAGTTACCATAATGTTACTGTAGATTTGTACTGTACATTGGACAACAGCCAAGAATCTCTCAGGTTCATATGGCAGCATAATTAGAATAACTTATAGTAAGTTCAAACCTACTCTCTTTTTGCCTCACTGAAAGTACTAAAGGCTTTGCATTTTAAATTTCGTAAATGTAAGGGCGCAACGTTTCATCTGCTGGAGAAGACGGCAATGATTTCACTCATTCTGCATTTAATCAGTTAGCTGTACTCCAACAACAGCAGTTATCAATAGCTATTAACCAAGACAGCTGTAACTAAGATTAAACATCACAACAGAAAGAAGTAATAGAAAAATTTTCCGTACACTGGAATTCCTTGTTGCTCAGTTAATCTAAAGGCTTTTTCATAAATATATATGAAAAAGTCTGTGTGTATATATATATTCATTTTTATATATACAGAAGTGTCTGCATGGGTATGCATGTGTATATGGAAATATTACATGGCTGTAGTTCCCCTAAAACACATTACTTTGATATACCCTTTTGCTAATAAGAATTAAGGCTTGTATCGGGTTTGTGTGGCCAGGTTTTGGTA